ATGTACAGATACCCCACTGCTGCTTCAACACCTGCACAACCACACAAAGGACGAGGCCCTACGAAGAACGACACGCGTTGAAATACACGAGAAACACGGCACACTCAAAACAACTCCGAAAATGGGCCCCCCACACCATCAACAAGCTGGAAATCATCTGCAGCAGCGATAGTTGCAGAAGGAGCTACAGCAACAGCTGCAACAACGCTGGAGCAGTGCGGTTTCCCTTTCTGGCCGGTTCGCTACTGTGGGCAGGAGAGGCAGCCGCAGCAAAAGGTCGCTTGGCAGCGGGTGAAGGAATCTTGAATTACCTCCTTGTAAGAGCACAGTTGCTCGAGCTCCTCATCGTCCAAGCTGCTGTAGACGACCTGCTGCTGCTGCTGTTGCTCCTGCTGCTGCTCCGCCGCCCCCATCAGCATATCCACCTCTGCCAGCTGCGACAACACCCAATGCAAAGCGCCTCCACAGCGTTCACTATTTCGCCACAGCAGCAGAAGTGGCAGCAAGAACAACAGCAGAAACGGCAGCAAGAACAGCCGCCAGAAAAGCTGCATGAGCAGCAGCAGAAACATAAACAGTGGAAAACCCATGTATAGCAGAAGGAACACCATCAACAGAACAGGCACCGGTAGCAGGAGCTGCTGCTGACCCTTTTGAGGAGCACTTGCAGAAGCTCCATCAGGAAACCCTGAAGGCGGGTAGTGGACAGCGGCTGCAGCAAGGCATTATCTTGTCGCTGCAACACTGCTGTTCTTGAGAGCAACAGCGACAGAGACGGCACAACGGAGCTCGAGACCTCCAAGCCACCAGATCCCAGCAACTGCACCGACAGCGGCAGCACCGCCCACAAAGCCGTCAGCCCCTGAGACAGTGCAGCACATCCAATCACGCGAATACAGCCTCCAGTGGCCGCAGCAGCAGCGGCAGAAGCAGGAGCAGCAGCGGCAACCAGCGCTACAGCAACAGCAGCTGTGGTTGGCGCCGAGCTAGACCCCTGCAACTGTGTGGTGCAACGAGTCGTTGATATGTAGCAACCAGCAGCATCAACGTCTTCCTAGGCCACTGGAGGGCACGGAAGACATCCTCTCAGCAATTAACATTCAGAAAGGATTGGCGAAAAGGAACCGACTTCTGCATGCTGTGCTGATGCGGAACATGACTCTGGCCTTGCAGCAGAACAATCGTTTCCTTGGTATTCAAGCTAGTCGTCTTTATGACTAAATAAAGTTGCTCCAGTTGTATAACTAGGTGGCAACATACTGGTGTAAACATCCCAGTAGAAACAGGC